GGAGGCCAGGCAGTTAAGCACAGCAGAATTGTAGCAGTGCATTGTGAGTTCAAGACCGCAAAATGCTGTGAATGTTCTGTGATGTTAAGAATTGGTGACAGGACTATGGCCTAATAAATGCTGAAACCGCTATTATTTGAAACCGCAAGTCCCGGGCACCTCGAAAATGGCATTCAAGGTTGCAAGGATGCAAGACAAGACAATACTGTAGCTTAGTTTCTGTCAAGGATGGTGAGAACGGCAATGCACGAACCATCCCACACAACTGCAGAAGGGTTACTGGAGCGGAAATTGTGAAGACTAGCTATTTAAGGTGCACTGAGGCATTTACTCCCTATGTTAAGGGGAGCGTCTAGGGTAAAATTTATCCTGGCTATTTACGGAAAGATCACTCTGGAACTTGGTACACATATGTAAAACAGAAATCTAAGACTTTTTTGTTCATGTGAATTTTTCGAAAAAAATGAAAGAAAATGTGGAAATCTTCGAAAATGGTCAAAAAAGGAGGTACTGCAGAAATCTATCTCCTCCTAGGATTTTCAAGCTAGAACAACGAAACATATCATTCGATGCGTAAAGACCATATCTAAAACTGAACACGGCTGTTTTTTGGATTTCTCATTTTTGTGGGTATGGGAGCATTTTTCGTAAATTTTTTGATTTCCCCCCTACCACCCCCCTTTTTGCAGAATAAAATCCAAACTATAACGAAATTAGAAAAACGCCTGTGTCCAGTTGTAGATAATTTTGTTGTGCATCGAATGGTATATGTCTCATTGTTGTAGCTTAAAAACTCCAGGAGATAGGTTTGCAGTGACAATAAGTTAACTTTTCAGTAGAGCCCGTCAAAGTCCCGCGCGCATTGGAATAGGCACTCAATGTAGCAAGGATACAAAACTAAACATTACTGGAGCTTGATTCCAGTCAAGGAGGGTGAGAGCGACTGCATGCACACCTCATACAACACCAGGCAGGTAACTAAGGTGCACTTCAAGCACACTCCATTTAAAGTGCTCGCAGCAAATTTCCTCCCATTCTATTTGTTAAAGAACTACCCCACCCCCTTCCCTTTCATGATCTGTCATGAACGCATAAATCAATGTAAAGAGATGGTTTTGGTACTTTTGGATAGGTCAGAATGTCAGCTTTAAGATGAGACTAAAAACTGGAAAAGCCAAAATCCAAAATTTTACCCTAGATGCTCCCCTTAAATGTTAAAGAACTCCACCAACCCTTGCCCTATCGTGGTGTGTTGTGAACGCATAAATCAGCGTACAGAGATTATTTTGGTACCATTGGATAGGTCAGAATGTCAGCTTTAAGATAAGACTAAATACTGGAAAAGCCAAAATTGTTGATTTTGGACCAAGAGGCTCCCCTTAAATCCAAATGTGTCGGCAAGATCTTCAGAAGGCATAAATTTTGCTGCCGATGCGTCACCAAATATCTTTTGATATTCACCAACTTTCTGCACCCTCGTGTAGGTGCATTACATGTGAATGAAATGAAAATAAACAGAAGAGCAACATAACAATGAGAAGCTTTTGAAGAGTCATGTGAACAATGCTACTGAATTTTTTTCAGCTATACCAATTAAGGAAACTGGCTGAGGAAATATTGAACAAGTGTAATAGGTACTTTATATTCCATTTTAAAAATTCCAAAGTCACTTTTTCAAAATTTCTTTTATGATGCTGTAATAATTGCATTATTAGTAGTTACCTTCATTATTAATATGGTAATTGTTAGTGCCACCAATTACTTAACCATTTTTGGGAGATGTCTGATCAAAATTCATTTAGCTGAAGTTTCCAAATGTGTACTGCAAGGCACAGCAACAAGCTTCAATGCTTTCTAATATCACTTATAAAATGATTGCCATCAATATTTTTTACCATATGTAGAACAATTCACTAAAACATTGTTATCAAAGGTCATAAAATGTACCTATGTCCATATTTATTTATTTTAAAATGTGTGAGCATTTTGCAGGACAATGTGTAACTGTGTGATAATGTGTAACTGTGTAACTACCCTCCCCCAAAAATGTAAGGTGAGGCGTTTGGTCCCTGTACGTTTAATATTGATATTAAAGAGGTTCACAGTCTGGCCCTGGGCCCCTGGACACTACTGGCAGGATAGGTTACTAAAACCATCTGGCGCTGCCAAGGAAGATATTCAGAAATGCTAGTGCCAGCTAACAACAAAGATGCTGATATACACCATAGGGCAGGATGAGATGGGGTTAGTAAGGTTAGGATGATACAAATTATATGAGATAAATTGGCTATTGACACACAATTCACACACCAATTGGATAGTCCCAGATTCAATTACTCAGCTATTGGAGCAGCCTCCAAAACATATAGCACAATTACAGGTAAGCCTTCCTAAAATATAACCAATAAAAAGTTCAAAGTCCTAATCAATACACACAATGGGGCTTGTTGTCATGTGCAAGTAAAATGATTGATTTAAAACACCATTGGTAAGTGAAAACTAATCACACACCCCAATGCGGACAAGGGAATCAGCCTACCACTCACAGGCTAAAATTGGGCGTTTACTTGGCTATTAGGTAAAACACGCACACACCATGCCAGATAAAATGGGTGCCTTAAAATCACTGTTGCTTTGTATAATTAGCTTGCACTCCATTAATTGCACACATGGATCACTATGTAATAAGCACACTGTCTCAACTTGTTATTCACATGAAGTGAGGGCACTTCTAGGACTGGCGAGACGTATTCACCAGGTGGACCAATCAATTCATTCCCTGGGTGTTTCACTGAGGTTGCAAAGTCAGTTGCATTGAAAGTCCCGCCACAAGGAAGAATTCCACCTCACTCGAGACCCTTGGAGTTTACCAAGGAAGGCTTGTCCGGTTGGCTCAGTGCCCAGTATTTTAAACTTGACCCTTGATGCCCTATAAGTAAATAGTAGGCAGAAACCAGCTATCAGTATATGACAGGTGTGCAAATGGATAAGACACAACGGTATGCAGTATCATACAATAAAACATAATATACAGACATTGGCACCAACGCTTATTCTAGCAAGGAACACAATTACATTGATATATGCAAAAGCGCTTCCTCTTACAACTGTAATTCTTTTGTAAAAAATTAATTTGTAAAAAAATAAATTTACTTCTCAAGCATTACAAAATTTGTTTCTAACATTTCAAGATATTTGTTAGACCTGTTAAAAATATTGTATACATATTTTACCATGATCAAATCAGTATTGTCACGCAATGGAAATCGAAAGCTGTTCATAGATTTGAGTCGTGCAACAAACTATGAAAAAGCATCCTTGAAAACAACCTTTTCCTATTATAGTGCTTGTTTGTTATTATATGTCATGTTTGTTATTATTTATGGACCTTCCTCTTCAACCTGCTAAACTAGAAACCTGCAAGCTCCTCATTGCTCCTTAAACTTACTCTAAACTTTGGAGTCTCCTGCATAATTGCCATTTTCCTAAATATAGCCTAAAAATAAAATAAAATATAACCTAAAGCAGAATTTCTTGCCTCCAATCACTGTCATCTGCTCAACAGCTTTTGACTGCATAATCCTAGGTATTGTAGAGTTCTTTGTCAACAACCGTTAATGCTTTTTAAATTTGGTTTGTTTAGTCTTGAGGATTTGCAAATAAATTTTTGTTGTATAAATCACTACCATGAAAGGGGGTAACTTAAACTACTTTTTTTAAATGATGCCATATTTTTACTAGCTAAATTAAACTTGAATTGAAACATGCAAAATACAGGTCTATACTCTAGGTTCACTCATCATAAATTTCTGGCTCCTGCCTCTCATAGTTTTGATGTAATTTTAAAAAAGTGATGGTCTTTGTTACCCCAGCTCTTGGGGTATCTTAGACTGGGTGGTAAAATCAATTATATTTTTTGGTAAAATAACTCCAAATAACTCCAGGTTTTGGTGCATAGTAGTACGTAGAACTCTTCTGGTTACATATGCAAATGACAAATTTGAGGAAAGTGTCATAGTTTGCAAATGGGGGGCACCACCCCCAAATGGGGGAACTTAGACCACCTAATGTCTGCCATGATGGGGTAATATTGACTGGCTTGGAAATTAAGTTAAAGTTACCATATATAAGACTCTGTAGAGTCTGAAACATAAAGAAAAAACATTAATAGTGTATCAAAGATAAAATATGTTATACATAGTAATTTTAAATTAATTTCCAAGCTGGTCTATGTTACCCTGTCAGGACTGACATTAGGTGGTCTAAGTTACCCCATTCAGGGGTGGCCCCTCCATTTGCAAATTATGACACTTTCTTCAAATTTGTCATTTGCATATGTAACTAGAAGAGTTCTACTACAATGCACCAAAACCTGGAGTTATTTTACCAAAAAATAAAAAAATTGAAGGGGGTTCCACAACAGGCTTTAAATAATACCTAGCTCTTTTTTATGTTTTTTTTTGTCTTTCTATTGTGTTATGTAGCCTTAGTATTAGGCCTTCAATGCCCATTGACAAAATTTTTCTATGTCAAATAGTTTTTGAGTTTTGGAGGTTTTTGTTAAAAAAATAAAAGTGGTCTAAGTTTCCCCAGGAGTCTAAGTAACCCCATTTTATGATACTCTTCATGTATGAAGCTCACCAATGCCTAATATTTCAAGTATGGTACCTAAATACATTTAACCAATTTTCCACATGTGCTGAAGAAATATTCCATTTTGTAGAAGTAAACAGTAGTAATCACCTATGAACAATAAATTATCATTTGATTGATGCATCAGAAGTTAACTGTAAAAATATAACTCGGTACTCTCTGCAGTGAGTGACATAGGGTGTATTTTCTTGTCGACAAAAATGTGAAGTCACGGACATGATGAGCATAATAGCACCTTTTCTTCCCACACATGAGACAATGCACTAAAAATGATCAATTTATTAGCTTCCTAACAAGTTATTATTCTAAAAGGTTTGTTTTGTTCCTTTTTCTATTTGATGTATTAGAGATGGAGGGCTTGGCACAGTGGATGCAATTCAAGAAGCCAAGTCCTGAGCTGTGCTGTGATTGGTCTCTGCCAAACAACACACCTGCTGCTCAGAAATGGGTATGTTTTTGGATATGCCAAATAATGCTTTATTGTTGAATCTATTCTTATTTTCAGATCAATGATTACTGTAGATTCTATAAAATCTATGGAGCAGTTGATATTAGATAGAAAATCAAAAACATAATTCTCCTCTACAAAATTTTGGCCCTTTGTGTTCAAATTATTCATTATATTTTTGTTTCTATATGCTTGTCGTAGACACATATTTATTGAAAAACATATGCTTGTCCCAAATGGAAATTGCAAGCATGAGTACTACTACTCGTTTCACTCTGTAATTTAGTAATTTTGCTCAAACTTTCTTGCTTCTCACTTTGCCTTTCAACCAAAAGTATAAATGAGCTCTTTGTTCTATTTGTATTGAAAGATGTACTATGGAGGCAATTATCTCTTAAAAAGGAATTTGAGAAAGCCAAGTGTTTCTTGGGGCAGTTTATATATATATTTTTTTTAACACCGAAAAAAATATGTTTAGGTTTGCCAGTAAATTTCAACCTGTCTCCTTCAGTGACAGCTGCCCATAATTCTTGTTCACAAAACCTTGTTATTGATTTTTTTTAAGAACTGAAGACATTTGCACTATTTGTTCCAGGATACTGCCAGTGAGACACCATCAGACCTTATAATGGTGGGAGAGTTTTCAGAATTAAAGGGTCCTATCCCTCTAATGACATTCCCAAGTCTGAACCCTACCTGCAAGTTAAAACACTTCAAACATAAACCAAAAGAAGAACTAACCTCTCCACTACACACTTGTCCCTCATGTTGGAACAGGAACACAAGTATAGATCCTGTCCTTGGGGATGTCTCTCATGCAAAATTTTGGGCAAATTGTGATTGTAATGAAGAAAGTGGAAATGTTGATAATTTTTTAGAGAAGAGTACATTGAAGAAACAAGTTTTCAAATGCAACAAGTGCCCTTGCTCCATCAAAATGAAGGCTAGTAAACCTTGTGTGTCCTGCAGTAGAAATGAATCAGCACAACAGGAGCAGTTAACTGACGATGAAGAAGATGAGAGTTTGGGGCACAGTTTTTGTCTCGATGATGACCCATTTTATTGCGGGATTGATCTCAATGATCTGGTGCTAAAACTTATGTCAACTGACTACCAAAATTTTGGGTAAGAGAAAAAATATTTTTTATCAACCTAGAGATAGTTTTGTCCTTTATGTCAATTATTTTAAGTAAATAAAATTTATGTATATAATTGCAATTAATTTTAATTAGATTCTCTCACTTTTGTTAATTAAAGGATTATTCATTATATACATTAATTTCTTTTGTTTAAAATGTTTTTAATTTCATTCATCCATAAAATCATATATGTTTAAATTATTTTGCTAATACATGCTTTCATCTTTTGATAATAATTCATTTGAATTAGCACGTGATCCAACTTATCAATGTTTAATCCTTCTTTGCACAGATGTTACACCTGTTAGATAGATGTTGCCAATATTTATTTTTATACTTCTACATCAGTCTCTTCAACTTTAACCATTTTTAGGCATAAAGATTAATTCATAATAATTGATTCAATGTTGTTTAAATGTTAGCAAGTTTGTCTGCCTCTCAATTGACATTTTTTTGATTGCCTAGATATTCCTTATAAATTTTTTATGTTATATGATTATTTCTATGTGCAGGGGCGTGTTTAACTTGCCAAAAGACAGCGAGGTGATAGAACTGGACCTGCAGAACCAGTTTACCGGCATCAGCGCTGTAGTGAGATATGTGACTCTATTTGATATACATGCTCGTGGCTACGTGCGGCCACACTGCATTGCATACCTCACCTGGGACCAGGCCAAGATTCATACAAGTCTTGATGTCATAAGGTCACATATGAAGAAGGTTAGTGTCTGAAGTGATTTCTTGATAAAGTCTTGCAAAATAAAACTGTGTCTGAAGTGATTTCTTGATAATCACTTGCAAAATAAAATGGTGTCTAAAGTGATTTCTTGATAATCTCTTGCAAAATAAAACTGATAACTTAGGTAGTAAATGAAAATGTTTCTGGATTCTGGTCATCTTTAGTTCCTGAAAATTTAGAACATGAATTGAATAAATTGGTGAAAGCAGAGAAAAGTACCGTAATTCATGGAATCATAGTTCTAAGGATTTATTTATAAAAACAGTTCATTTTTGAGCAAAAATTATAGTATTGCTTTGTCATTTGCCTGACAGGGGTTTTACAGTTAATTATTGCCTAGTAAAGGAGTTATGAGGCTAATTTTGCCTGAAATAGTTAGTTGTAATGAACTGAACGAGTTCTGTTTCAGGTCAAGGGTTATATATACGTACCTATATAATATACTTATGTTACATCACATTTTTCAATGTCATCTAACTTGAATAATCGCAGTAGTTTCAATGTCAGGTTTGATATTCTTGAGCACCAATAGGAATTATTGTGAACTTAATTTATATTATGTATAATTTGCCTTTAAAACTTCATAGTTGTGGGTACATTTGGTCAAAGGATCTTGTTACAAAGAATGCAGTCTCCCATTGGTAATTCTACCCCAGGATGAACTGCATTATGTTATTTCTCATTTTCTAATTGACTCTGTCGTGATCTTTACTCTTAGGGATTAATTGTATAACAATGTTTTGAAGAGATATTAAGTAGTCAGATGCTTGCAGAATTCATTTCATTTGGTGCCCACAAGTTATTCTTTTTGTGGGAACAGACATCTTATTTAATTACGCAAGTTCTATTAAAGTTAATACCCGAATATGTTATTCCAGGCTAGCGACTACTTGAAGAGCAGCAACTTGTGTTGGTTTGCTTGGGAGAGCAAGAAGCGTCTGGCTGACCTCCAATACACCAAGCAACGATACTTGAAAGCTCTTCAGAATGCCAGAAATATTGGTGGTTCTTCCCATCCGGGTGGTGTGGCTTCTGATTCTAGGTGTGGTTCCTCTGGTCCTGAGACTGTGAGCCCTTTTTCTTCCCATTGTGCTTCCGGTCCCGACGCCTGTGCTTCCGGTCCTAATTGTGGTGCTTCCAGCCCCGACTTTGGTGCTTCCGGTCCTTATTGTGGTGCTTCTGGCCCCGACTTTGGTGCTTCCGGTCCCGACCACAATGCTTCCCATCCCACTTGCAATGCTTCTGGTCCTGTTTGTAACAATCACAGCAGGACTTCAGGTTCCGTCCATAATTATCTTGGCTCATTCTGTGAGACTTCTTGCCCTACTGTTACTATTCATAATTCTAATGATGAACAAAATAGTATTTCTGCCAAATGTCCCTCTGACTGTGCGTCCAGCCCAACGACAGGTGCACCAAAATTTACAGCAAAAACTAAGAGCCTAAGCCTCGAACAGTCGTTGAGATGCAAAGCAGGTCTCGAATCTGAGTCCTTGAGCCTTGGTCACGATTCAGCTCGACCTGGGGCTGACCCAGACGTCCTGCAAACCAGCGTGGGATCACAAGACCCTAGATCCTGTGGCTCCTTTCGTGACCTGCCTGACGTCTGCAGTGGCATAGAAATTATCGGTGAAGAAGTTCATGTGCCTTCTGACTGGACTGATGTAACTGAAGCAGATTTCGCGATCGCAGCAAATAAGAATCAAGCAAAAAATTCATTGAGTTATAGTACACGTCAAGTCGGCAATGATCACTTTATGCTGCAGAGGGATACGGACGAGAAATTGACTTCAGGTGTCTGGGACCGAGAGAACGGAAGAACAGGAACCGAAATCATCTCAAACCATATCCTTGCCGCGGAACCAGGTGATGATGGTCCAAAAACCGAGGAATTGGCGGTTCCGGGATCACAAATTAAAGTTCCTCCTTCTGAAATACTCTCTCCAAAACTAGGATCCCCAGAAAAGTTTCCTATTCACAGTAAATTGTCTCACAACACTGAAATTCCAGCGGAAAGAAATCCGTCATTAGAAAGAACGGATAATTTGTTACTGGATCACTGCTCCCTTGAAGCCATTGCCACTCAGCTCCTCGACACTCGAAGGATCGTCTCAGTTGTATGCAAACATTTGGTGAGTTCTTATCATGGACATTATTTCAATCTGATGCTTTATGTTTTCATGTGATGGATACCTTTTATTCAGATATTAGATAAAGCAAAAATATTTTCCTTCTAGGTACTACTGATGTATGGAAGCCTTGTAACTTGGGCAGCAATATGCTGGATTCACTTTAATGTACTTATCAAACAATGTATGTTACAGGAGAGTCTCGTGGAGTTCACTGAAGTGAAGGAGCTCACTAATCTCATTGCAAATGAAATTGGTAGCCCGGTTCACAGAGCGGCCGAAGAGTGCGGCATGTTGAATCCTGCTTATTGTGTTATTCCGAGTGAAGAAGAGAACTGGTCGTCAGATGACGCTAAAGAATTCCCACTTCACCGGGAAGCAAGTTCTTTCTTAAATAGTCATCCTGTTCAAGATGTGTCGGCATTTTCAAAAGAAGTGAAAACGAAATTTCCATTGGGCAATGAAAGTTTTTCCAGCAACGATCAAAAGGAAAATGTCAGTTTACCAATTAAAGATTCTCAAGGAAACTTCACTCAAAGTTGTCGCCGCTGCCGAGGTTCTGTTGTTGCTACTAATTCAAAAATTCACGGTTGTGGTATCCCAGAACTCTATTTCGGTAGTTCTGGGCGAAGGCGGTATGAAAGCTTGCGGTGTATGCGCGATTTATCAGGGTGCGGTTTTGTGGCGGCTCTTCTAGAACTCTCGGAGCTACATTCCATCCTGGCCAAGTCCAGTCTTGCTCTTGCCTTCGAAATTGTGGACGAAGATTGCTACCTTTATGACCCAGGGAGTCTCTTCGTAGGCAATGTGCCTGTCGTTAATATTGTAAAGTGCTCCTCGAATGCGTCCAATGATGAAAGCGAAAAAATGAAATCCAAAGGGAAGTCTGATTCGATGGCGACCAATCTCCACACTTCATCTGGTATCTCCAGAAGTTCTCGAACCCTTCCAGTCAAAGTCAATTTGACACGTGGCAAAGCTGCGTCAAAATCTTCGTCAGATGCTCAAGTGAAAATGTCAAAAAATTCAAATGAATCTCCGAGTTTGTCTTGTTCAACTTTGGCGAAGAAATTCAAGTTTAAAGCGTCCTTGTGTTACAATGAATCAATAGTTGATCAAATACTCAACATCTACGTGGATAAAAAAGGTCTGGAGAAACCCTTGTTGGAAAACCAAGGCGACTGGGTCTTAATAAATGGCCGGCGAATAGCACACGCTGATTTTTCTCTCTCTCGAGCAGCGCCTCCTCTTCCTCACAATCACAACACAAAACAAAATATATCGCAAGCTTCAGATTTCTTGCAGAATATTGACACCTCTGATCCTGCTTCTTCATCTCCCGACGTTAGCGGCCCTCTGTGCTTACTGATGTCTGCCTCCACTCTGAGCAGCCACAGCGGTGGCACCGCCAGTAGCAGTTATGAAACTGATAATAAAATAGAAGATAATATCAAATCTCTTCCCGTCGAGGTGGCCATTGCTGCCGATGAAAGTTTCATGACCAACTTAGGACTAAATGCAAGCAATGAGATTATTCAAAATACTCAGTTATTAACGCCATCATCGAACAACACTGATATTGTTCAAGAAGGGTCGCATAAACAACGTCATAAAATAATCGACCGTGCATTATCAACACCGGCAAGCTCTTCATCCACTTGTGGATGCCGCATAAGTTCCGACACAAGCTGCGAGAGTAAAGTCAGGAGGTCGTCTTGTTGCTGTTGTAAGCATTCTCAGGAGCCAAAAGTAAAGAAGAAAAAGAAGAAGAAATATCGTCGGCATCCTAGGGTTGACATCGACCAACGTATGGCCACCGCCTACTGTGAGTTATTTTACATGTATTCCTATGTGATTGTTTTTGAAGTGGAGGGTTTGACTTACCTATATCAATACGAGGGTTGCTTTTTTATGTGTAACCTAATCATATTAAATTAGTTTATTAGAAACTTCCTCGTTTTCTAGGCTTGAACTTTTTGCCTCCCTACTCTTTTCATGCAGAGTTTGTCTAACGTATTCATGGCATATACTCATTATTAATTTATTCTTCCACAAGCATTGTACCCAATTTCTGGCATATATACTATTTATTAAAATATTCTTCCACCATCATTGTACACAACTTCTCATTGCAGACCACGAGCTAAGTGCTCTCCTCCTGAAAGTTCCTGGCAAGTCCAAAAACAAGCTTGCTCTGAGTAACGTCAGCCAGAGCCTGATGGCCAGCCTCCTGAGTGGTCGGCGTCTCATCGTGGCCGCGCGACCAGCTCATCAGCGCGCTGCTAAGATGGCAGTCACGGCCATGGCTGCCGCCCTCCTGCCTGTTGCTCAGGACAACTTGCATCCTATCACCAAGTGGGATTTTTGTGTTATTGCCACTACTAATTTTAATTCAGTTAATTTAATAGCCGTACATTAATGTAGGGGTCAATTAAATTTAATTGCCGTACATTAATTTAATGGTCAATTTAATTTAATGGCCGTACATTAATGTAGGGGTCAATTAAATTTAATTGCCGTACATTAATGTAGGGGTCAATTAAATTTAATAGCCGTACATTAATGTAAGGGTTAATTTAATTTAATGACCCTACATTAATGTAAGGGCCAATTTAATTTAATGGCCGTACATTAATGTAAGGGTCAATTAAATTTAATGGCCGCATATTAATTTAAATTTAATGGCCTTACATTAATGTAAGGGTCAATTAAATTTAATGGCCGCACATTAATTTAATGGTCAATTTAATTTAACGGCCGTACATTTGAGGCATAGTATAAGGGGATTATAGTGACTTATTTTTCATTTTTTACCAGTTTTGCATTGTAGTTTTTTGTGGAGTAACTTGATTTGGCGGAACTAGACGAGAATATCAAAAGTACGTACATAACCTTGTAAACATGCGGAATTGTGCCACGAATTTAGTTACAAATTATGTCGCAGTTTTAGATTTGCTTTTAAGCTCTCCTCTCTTTGTCTCGAAGCTCCAAAAGTTTGTATAATTAAAGTTATTGTGCAGCTGTGGTGAATTCTGATCCGGTTTTCTAAATTGGACCTGGCGCTGGTAATATTATACAGCATTTCATGTGTGCTGTGTGTTTGTAAATGAATTCATAACTGTGAATGATTAAACTAACTAAAATTGTATCTATTTCACCACACGCACAATCTCTGCAAACAGAGTCGCTACTGCTCAGACAGAAATTTCAGGAAAATTTATTGTATCGAAATTCGCAAAGCAATCGTTTCTTATGAGTTTCGAAAACGAGGGTTTTTAATATACTCGGAAACTTCGAGGAAAAGCAACGTTTTTTATTTCCTGCTGTTGAATTCATCAAATTATTCAAGAAGTACAGGCAGCCTTACCTAGTTTTTAGAGCTACACACATTTATATACATTTTATATTACAGTCCTGTCGATTGTGACGTTGATGATGCGTGTTGCAGGTACCATCGCGGCACCATCACCTCTCATCACCTCCGGCAGCAACCGTTGCTGGGGCTGTGCATACCAGAGCGTCTTCTGCTGCACCATCTCATCGACTCCTGCACCATGGTGCGGCTTGGTGGTGCTGTGCTCCATGGTGTGATCTGGTGGTGTTGTGCACCATGGTGCGGCTTTGTGGTGCCGTGCTCCATGGCGTGACCTGGTGGTGCCGTGCTCCCTGGCGTGACCTGGTGGTGCTGTGCACCATGGTGTGACCTGGTGGTGCTGTGCTCCATGGTGTGACCTGGTGGTGCCGTGCTCCATGGTGTGACCTGGTGGTGCTGTGCTCCATGGTGTGACCTGGTGGTGCTGTGCTCCATGGTGTGACCTGGTTGTGCCGTGCTCCATGGTGTGACCTGGTGGTGCTGTGCTCCATGGTGATCTGGTGCTGCCGTGAGCCATGGTGTGATTTGGTTGTGCTATTGCTCCATGGTACAACTTGTTAATGCAGTGAGCCTTAGCGTGTCCTGAGCTCCAATTTTTTCTTAGAATTACCTAAAGATTTTTGTTATGTGCAGAGCAAAATCACGACGGTGAATTTATCGAGTGGACACATCTCCGGCGTGGCTTACTACGGTAACTTCATCCGTGGCTTGGATCAGTTCATCCGACACTTCTGCCCTCGAGAAGCTGATCCTCAGCAAGCCATTCGCCAGTGGTTTGATTCTACACTGCACCCAGCGTCTATGTCTTATCCTGTACCTGCACCTGAACTTGGTGATGAACAAAGACCTAGTGACAGTGACGAAAGTTCAAGAATAAACAGGAGATTCGAACGAGCCGACTCAAGCCCAGAGGTCTTTGGACGGGTTCCCGGTCGTACTGTAACGGCCACGAGAGACACGTCGTCCGAAGGTGATCATTGTGCCCTTGAATCAAATAGCGATATTGTCGATGTAAATCAAAAGGCAAACGCAGTCGTTCGATCCATTTCGTCTCCTGAAATGGCCCACGATTTGTTCTGCGTTAACCCCAGCGGTAGAGGCGGAGCATCGCTCCTTAACACAGCATGTGAAGATGATGATACTTCAACTATTCCCCCAGGCGCTTCCGCTCTTGCATCCTCTCAAACTTCATATCGTTTGACGCGAAGCTCTTCGTCTGCTGCAACAAACATGCATTTTTCTACTGAAGGTCCATACGCTAGCTCGCGTTCATCGTATCGCGATATCGCCGCTATGAGCGGTCAAGAAATATTTCCCAGTGCTTCCATTCCAGCAGAAACTACAGCAAAATCTTCCGTTAACACTGGATCTTTTAGAGGCGAGTCGCCATCAGTCAACGGAGCTATTTCAGTGTATGGCAACCGCTATGCTTCCATGGAGACTTTCCGGCGAGGATCTGTCACAAGCGAAACCATCCCCCTGTATGGCAACAGTGATGCTCCTCTACAAACATTCCTGCAAAGCTTGCTCGTTAAGTTAGGCGTGCAAGTTTTCCTCTATTTCCACGTGAGTGGGAACAGTACATTTAGTCCCAGCCAGCTCATGCATGTTCTTGACGTGCGAGAGCGAAATGACATGCAAATCCTTGAGTATCTCACCTCCATTGTGTCGCGGCAATTGGATCTGGCCGACGTACAAGTTGAGTATTTACCCTGAATCATACGCAGAATAGTCCTCGTTCCGCTGATTCCTTGAATCAGCGAATATTCCTCGTTCCGCCCTCTTGCCAATTTTTGAACCGAAACGGATAGACTTTGTCTTCTTTGTCTTATGCGCAGTTCCTGTCTGTAATAGATTTATATTGTAACGCCTCGCTATTATGGACGAAGCAGAAGACGAGGCGAAGTGAGTTAAGCAACTATACGAGTGCGCGCTATTGCCTGACCTGAAACTCGGATGAATTGACTAACGCTTTATTCGGTCATTTCTTTTCTCTATCGTGGCGTAAAGTGGCTTAGTTATTTTCAATTCCCATCACTTTTAATTACTAACTACAAACTAAAAAGCAAATTCAAATTCATTTTAATATTTTATCTCATGCTTTGTTTTTATTTGTTCATGTTATTTTTTGACCGCAGATTGTTCGTTTTTAGTTTTTGAATCTTTTATTCTTTCAAGTGCTCAACAACTCGCAATGAAGATCTTGCTTGCTATTGTTTTTTTTTTTCAATGATTTGCACTTGATCGAGTGGACGATTTCTTGTCTTTAGCAATTAAATGAAATGAATAAAAAATGTAAAATGTAAAATTTATTTACATTGACCGTGGCTTTTAATTTATAAAGAACATTCTTTCGTGTAACATTCTCGACGAACTCTTCACATTTTATTTTCTCATGACTCGGTCTTCCAGGCTCGCTGGTCTCAGGCTTTGATGTATATACTTGTACATGGAGCTTCGAACTTCCATGAACAAATTTTTTTTATAGATGGATAGTCTACTGTTTAATTCGAATTATTCTCTGATTTCACCTGATTTAATTCACACAGATTAGGTTGACAAATGACAAGTTTATGTCATGACAGTTTTAAAAATAAAGCGCACTGTCGAGTAATGCGTTGAAAATTTGGCTGTCTCTATTTTCTTTATAAATTCTTAGCGGTGATTTGACAACGCCTGATTTGGTTTGGTGGCAGTAAGAGGTTTATTTTTCTTGACCATGTTTGGAAATTTGTACCAACAAGTTGCAGTCATTATCTGTGAATTTATTATAATATCAATCATTGTGGCCGTATTAGGAATGTGAACTTGGCATTAATATCTGAATAATTTCGTGCAGCCAAAAGTTGGAGTTTTAGTCATGTATTATGGCGTCATTTGTGTATTGGTTTTTATTTGTCAACGACACTTGGATTTCAGGTGGCACTTCGTGATTTTAATGTGAGCAATTTTGGATTGCAAAGATGTTGCATTATTTTGAACTTTGTTCCTTTTCAGCTTTCCCAGGAAACGGAAGTATCGTACTTAATAGTTACGTAGGAGCATTACAATCGATATATAAGCAAAAAGTATGTTAAAAAATTTTTCATTTCTTATTGAAGTTTATGCTCCATGATATTGAGTAACGTAACGCATCGTTGTCCTAACGTAACGTGATTTTGGGTAATGCTTTGTTGTGCGTGGGCAGTGCCTTGTTGATGTGACGCGTGATTATCAATTTTCCACAGTCACGCTAGTAAGTAAGGTTAGGGTAATGACATCGGCTGTGCACTAATTACTATTAGATCGCTAATTCTAGAGCAAAATATTGGTTCATGTGACTAGGTAGTGGCTTACGTGACAAATCGAGCAATTGACCGAGACTTTCCTGACATGTCAACTTGAAGAATATTTGCTAAGTGCTACGAGTTTTCCTTTGAACGTTTCGTTGCTCTCTGATATAATCCTGAAGCGTTTTGTGTTCTTCTTCAGTACTATTTTTTTCTCCATTTGTTTAGTTCGCTCGTCTCTGTATCCTGTCCTTCATTTTTATTGATGTGCGCTGTATTTATCCTTACTATCCGCTGAGGAATTTCGGTTGCTTTTATGAACTGACTGATATATCAAAAAACTATTTTTAAGCATAATGTTTCCTCAAACGCTTGTATTTTAGCTCGTTGTTAAACACGATAACTGTGGTTTTCATCATTTTTTCATTTTCTAGAACTTGACTTCTCATTTGCACTTGCGTGTCATATAAACTTGTTAGGCTTCATTGCTCTTATATATTGAAGTTCGACTCCCAACTCAGTTGTTCACTTAAATGCGATTGATTTGAAGTTATCGTGCCATGTAATTCTTCCATATTTTATGCTTATTCAGACCCTGATGCAATGGTTGTTCCACGACCAATGTGTACGATCAGTCTGTATATATGAAACATTTCCACTATCCTACTTTGTATTAATTTCCCCTCTCCTGCCTAAATTCCCTCATTGACACTCTGAACTGAATGAGTTTTTGTCTTTTACAATATTGATTCGAGAATTTTTTCTGTTCCACAGAACATGGCGTACAAAGCCTCTTTTTCTTTGTTCATTTTTTATTCCATTCTTCTTGATGGTCTGTTAAATATCTCTTACTTGTAGCTGCGATATGGCTGGACTGATCTCAACTTCGTTCGCTGGAACGATTGAGTGAATCGCCCACACCACATACCTATAGTAATAATATTCATTCGTTGTATCTTAAACATGAATGGTCAAATAAAGCCATGAAAGCCGAAGCAACGATTGAAAGCGTTGATATAGGAAGTACTCGTATCGTTAACCCTCATTACATAATCATGTTGCTGCCGGTGTTACCAGAGGAGATAATTTTCTAATTTCCTTGCTCAGTGAATAGTTTGTTCGTGCGCGTCATTTTATCTGGAATCGTTTATTTAACTAATTGAAATACACCCAACAGATTGGTTAGTACGAAAGATCAACCTAAATCGCATCTAATGGGAAGCACATTGCAAATTTAAAGTTAGTGTGAAGAGATTTTTGAATTAGAGCTTCTGCTAAGATGAAGCGTTACATTGAGTAATTTGCAGATAAAATTTGTGGCAGACTGCTATCTTTTCAGTATATTTAATGGAAATTGTGTTTTGTTATCAAATGATACAGATTTAATAACTGATGTTTTGTATAGTGTTAGGTTGGTTTCATCTATTTTTGCATTGGGACATGAAGCTAGTGCAGATGAATTGACTAACTACCTCAAGTTCCTTTTTTTTTATTCCGCTGTCCTCTGAAAATAAAATATCATGAAATAATTACCAGATCCATTAAGTTTTTACCAATAGCGCTCGCCGACTGACGTTCATGTGTTCACTTGGAGCGGTTTTTTAATCTCTGGGATCTTTTATCAACGAGGTTACACAAAATTTCCATCGGATTAAGGTAGACTAGAAGAAATATCAGATTGTGACGTATCGACATAATAGAATCTCAGCTTGCTTGCTCAGAATTAACGTAAATATAACCTTGACATTTTCAATGCATCACTCGCCTACATGTTCAGGCATCACTCGCCAACATTATTTAAGTTGGAACCGGAAAAGTATTAGACTTGTCACAATTAGTTTATTTTATAAGAATGGCTACATCAATATTATTAACATAAAATGCAACCTTTTTAATTCAATGTCTTCGTTATTTCAGTTAATAATATCTCATAATTAGACAGTTGCAAAGGCTAACGTGTGGAATTGATTCTTTCAAGATTATGGTAAGATTGTTTATAAACCGTTAACCTAATGCGTATTGAAATAATATATATTATTCTTCATTTTATTTTGATATAATTCAGGGCTTTATTAGTTTAACAGCGATCATAGTTCAAACGGCGTTATTCTATTATATCAATAAATTATTTCTAAAAAAATCAGTTCAGTAGAATTCCGAAGAAAAATTTGGCAACATCGGCGTTTTTTTTTTCTCTCAGCATTCGCTGCTCGTTTGACGGTTTGATCATCGTTCCAACATTCTGTGGACCGGCGTCGACTGGAGCGCAAGGTTTCTGGTGAGCATATAGCGACAAAGGAAATTTGTAGTTTGAGTTCATATTGGTTTTGGATTCTTAAATACCATATTTGTATAGAATAAAGTTTGAGTAGGCTGTAGTAGAACGGGATGCGATGTGAGGTACCGGAGAGTCGCTCCTTATCGAGTTAGCATTAACGTCTTTATTTATTTGAATTATCATAATTGCTATAAGACCGTCCAGGACAAGTAGGCTAATTCTTTCTCAATTTCTAGAACTTCTGACGAGCGACTAGTTAGAGACTTAAGACTTTAAGAGTGTAAAGTTATCGACATTTTACTGAGGAAGATTCGTTGTACCGTGGACGTCTTACATTTTCTCCTCACATTGAATCGCGTGGGCAGTTAGGTATCTCTGCAGAGTCGCAGGGATACTCTTCACTAGTTCTTTAATTTTCTTTGATCTATATTTCAAGCTTCTTATATTGCTTAGATTTTCGTAAATATTGTTCAATGTAACGCAAATTACTCAATTACTGTTGTATAGGTAATTGGCCTGAAGTTATCTTTTCAGAGCCATCTCAACTCTGTATCTATTTTCAGAGCCATCTCTAAGTATGCTAGCCTATCTCCACGGTTATGACTTATGACCGTATTATTTATAGTTCTAGGTTGCACTAGGAAATAAATTTTTGTCTCCTGTCAGGCTGTCAGTCCCTTAGATATTTCTGTTGACATGCCATGAAAAGTAACCACTTCCACAGATGATAGCTTTATCCTCTTATCTTATTGTAGTTGATTTTAACATTTTGAGGCACAATGTTGTACATTTGTCAAATCTGACCAAGCTAACCTATGGAATTTCAAGAGTGATGGTGATTTTTCTACCTGGATTCAGCTTCTGCCTTTTGATAAGCATTAAAACTGAAATGTTGCTCTGTTTCCTACCTTAATCCTGTATCTGAACCGGTGAGAATCAGCTCAAATACTTCTGATCTATGGATGAGTTACCATCTTCAGACTTCAGCTGTAGAGAAAACCCTACTTTGGAATCATCAGTTAGGTAGTATATTCAATATTGAGTAAAAAGTTAGAGGCAAATCTTGGTTACATGCTATCAATTCAATAAGCAATCTCAAGTAGGTAAGCTAATTAGGGGAAGGATTAGTTTAAAGTTTTTTGCTGCAATTTATTTATTGCCCTTTCTTCTGAAGTTCCTCTTCATTAAATTACATACATTGTTATGCCCAAATCTTGACTTAGGCTGTGCTGCTGCAGCGCTGCTAGTGCCTGGTACTGGGTGTTCTGTGTACACTACCATCTTTGGCTTACCTGGGTCACTCGGCCTGCTGGCTGGAATTCCAATTTCTAAACGTGAAATAAATTAACCAGAATGCAGCATATTGAAACAAGCTATCAGTCAGTCTGGAGATGGGCATGCATCTACCCAAAAATAACTAGCTTGAAGCACTATCCTAGATTTCCAGCCTTCCTGGGTATTAATGCTCGTGTGTGAAGATGATTTGATGGGGAAATTTCATTTTAACTTGTATGCAAATGGTAAACCTTTATCTTTCTAGTACTAATGGAGTTATTCTGGAAGAAGCTAAAGCACTGGTTTATTCACAAGAAATTTGTGAATTATATTGTGTGGATTAGGATTGTGTTCATTCTGCAAGTTTTTTAATTGCACTTGCAAATGACCTTCCCTCACTTGTAATGATTTGCTTCATTAGTCTGAGACTTGCTGAGTTGAGTCAGTATTTCCTAGGTGCTCAAATTCTTGGATAAAGCTGCCTAGGAATAGATCAGGTTAAGAACAGTGAGCTGGAGCTATTAGCTTTGATACAGAATCAATGGAAAAGATGGCTACAAATTCAAGTGTCGAGAGTGGTTAGTGAGTCAGGCACTTCGAGTTGTCGATCTTAATACAGGTGTCTGAAATTTAGTGTTGGTCGTGATTCCTTCATCTAGAATATTTGATTGGCTGAAAATTGTATCAATTAGGGTTCTCTAACCACTTGTTAAACCAAAATTTTGTTGAATGCTGAATTCACTGGGTATATTATTATTGGAATACATGATGAAAAAGAATATTATCTTACCAACAATGCTGAACATTGGTCTAGCTGAATGTTGTTGAATTTGTTCAAGAATTTAGGTTGTGACCAAAAATTTTGACGCTGCTTTTTTCATTTTCTCAGATGGCCTGATCTTGTTGCGTTCCATGAAATGAAAACTGAGGTAAATTTGATGAAAAGTTGTAAATTTTAAATGCTATGCAATAGTTATTGATGATTATTTAGTTATGATTCACATTAGCTAGTATTTAATGATGACAAACCTTGGAGACCTGAGACCAGTGATGTCACGTTGGATTCCCACTGATAGTTCTCGCATAATAAATGGAGCTGCATAGTTTTCTGTTGGAATTTAATATTGTTCCACATTTGTAGGTGGCTGTGAAGGAACCTCAAGATGGATGGATTCAGAAGAAAAATGAAAAATGAGCTTGTGGAAGTAAGTAGCTATTAAATTTTGAGAAATTTGTTGAGTAGTATTTTGGTAGAAATGATGTGATGGTTACTTGAAGTATGTATGGAAAGTTTGCGATTATCTGGTTGATAGACTTCCTACTTCCTGGATGAATATTGTAACAGTAACTTTACACCATTCTTCCAGTGATCATTGTCAGATAACCGTGGTTGAAGGAGGGGGGGGGGGTTGGAATAATTTGATTTTTCTGCCTTTTATCCATGCAATTATATATATTACGGGTAGTGTCCTTGGGTCACATTATGGGGTCTATTTTCTTCAAAAATAGATTTTTATGTTTTTAATGATGATCACAGTTTCCTGATAATGTTGATGAAACAATAGATTCCCAGACTGATCCAAAGCCTACAGAGTTATGGACAAGACTTGGATTTCCTAGCCTTATACGAGTTTGTTTTTTTTTCCAGGTCCCTGTCGCCAACTGATGGTCGGTGTTATTGCCCCTAGTCAGGTAATTATCTGCATACATTAATTTTATTTTAAGCTACTTCCCTCGACTCTTGTCACGCTAAATTATTTTGAATTAGCAGATGTATGATGATCATCTTCCCTCGATTAACCATGACGGTCATATAAAGCTCAACAGGACTGAACCTTTTATTAGCTTCTGCAAAATGTGCCTCGTGCGACCCCAATCCATCATACTATGTTCATCTTGCAGGTCTGATGCGATTCTTTCCTCGATTAAGCACTCGGCACTTGGTTTTGAAGAAATGGATCCGGTTAGATTCCAGGCGAAAGTATCTTCAAGCAACCATTACATCTACATGCAGCAACCATGCTTGCGTCCGTGCAGGTAATAGTCGTGTATGTCCTTTACTGTATAAAGATGGCAGTAGTAATTATTTAATTCAACATGCTTATATTGAATTGAATTTGAATTATTACCAACTTGAGCATTCACTAAATCTTAATCACAAAGAATTTCGGGTGGTTACCGATTTTAATAAATTATTGAATTGTCACTTGCGCCTCCAATGTTCACAGTATCGAAAATGCATACGAGCAAATGTTTCGTGAAATACAGCTTCCCTTCTTGTACCAGTTAATGAAACTTCTATATCTTGATATTTCTATGCTTGCCTGCGGAAGGCTTGATGAGCTGTTTCTGAAGCAAAATAAAGTTCGGTAGTAATTATTTTATGATGATACCTTGGAGACCTGATATCCTTGATGTCACTGTTGGATTCCCACTGATCATCCTGCTTTATATCTGAATCTTGCTCGTATCATTCATATTCTGATCTGGACATTCTTTGCCTATTTGACAGCTTGGGTGCGCGGCGACAGGATGTACTAACACCGGATTTGGGGCGTGATTACCCTGAATAAGTCGGGCCTCCAGTGACTTGCTGCCTCGAGTCAAGGCAGAGAAAAACAAGGTCAGAAAGCAGATAGTAGTGCTAAGGCTAGAGAGCAGGTGGGGAGACGGTTCGTGTCTCGGGTAAGAAGAGTTTGGGCTGAAGTAAAGTTATAGGGAAGGTACATTTTTAAGATGGTTAATACATTTTTGCTGCCCTCCATCAACTTTTAATTACACTAACTATAGGCATTTTAATTAGATATGCAAAACTCTTGGATCCTATATGGTAACCTTTTTATTTTTAATTATCATTAGAATTGTTACTTTTAACCTTCACATACTTGCAGCCTCCACATGAGCTTCCCTCTCTCCCTCATCCTCCAAACACTCCTCAAATGAAATTTCGTCAATAACCATCCGTGCAACGTCGAATGCCCCTCACACCTCAACCCCCCTCCCTCGCCAACTTCTTTCCCCCTCAGTGATGGCAGGCTGTCACTTCCTTTCCCCCTCTGTGATGGCAGGCTGTCACTTCCTCTGACACGCCCACTAGCGGCACAATCCATTCAACTGTAGTTTACTCGTCACTCTAATCTACAGTCCGAACATTTATGCTTTAAATTTCAGCAGGTGTTCTTAAAATGTCCTCGCACCTATTTTACAAATTAGCAACCATCTGCTAACCTTCCGAGTATTCGCGCTAAACTCTAATGCTCGCACGGATCCCCACCCTCGCAGTCATGGATTCCTTCACATCTGTACATCTTTCATCTGATAGTTTGACGCTATCGTTCCTTCCGTTTCCTCAATACCCTGGAAGCAAATATTTTCACTTTTTCTATTGCTTCCATTTTTGGGCATCCACTTTCTCCCAGTGTTCATCAGCCATTCATCCGAGTCTGTTGTGTACTGGTTAAGCCCACGTTTCGTGCAATTCGCATTAGGTCTCGTTCATGTCCTCCAGATATATCTCTTGTCACACGTTTCTCGTTCATTTTTTCCAGTCCAATTTTTAAATCATTGTTCTCATTCTCTTAACGTGCTCTATCCCATCACTCGCAATGCTTGTACTGCAATCCATCTGGGGTTCTAAGGACCAGTGTGGGCACAAATGGAACCTGTAAAAAAGTAGATTTCATTTGCTCTTGCTCATTAATAATGTCATGATGAAGTATTAAACAAGCATATGTCTGAATATGTTGATGAATATCTAAACTGATACTTGATTCGTTGATACTCGTCGTGTGACTTGTGTTTACCCGCATTAATAAATCTACTTGACGCAGGTACGACGAGACGTTGAGTGGTCAACAAAGCGCGACGTAGCTGCAACTTGATCTCCGGGCCTATCCTTATTGTCAAGTGAGTTACTTGACGCAAGGTGTTTATTCTGTTACAAACATTGCGGATCGTCCTTTCCTTGTTTATCACTATTTGATAATGAAATGAAATAGCCACGATTTTAATGATGACTTGCGTGACTGAGTTACTCCTGCTGATAGCCCTCGGTTTGCTGCCGTCCTTCTGATTATAAAGTCGTTTTTGTTCCTGTTTGCCTTTCAAGATTGTTTTCTTATTGAAAGTGTTATTTCAGGTATGCCATGCCTACCGATGTTGATACACGCCGATGTCGATAACGGTGAGCACTCGTCCTGTCTAGCTTGATTGTCCAGCCCCCTTCTTGCTAATGCTTGCTTTTCGTCTCTGTATGCTTCCATTTATAGTTAATTTTCCTCGTATTTTCACTTGGAAACATGATGTAAATAGATTTATCAATGCACTTGAATGTTAGTCAAATAGCTATTGATAAATTTTTAGAAACCAAAGTATTTAATCGCTTAGAGTTGAGGCATAGCACGTATTTCGTGGCTCCCATATTGAATTTACTCCTGGCACCTCAGTATCTGCGGGGCTTATGTGTGGCCATTTGCAGAATTCAATGCTACATTTAGGCACTAGGCGGATCAATTTTATGATGAAAATTTTCTACCGAACTGCTGAGCGAAGCTCCTTGCGTTTTGCAAGTGTTTCACCCTTGATTATGCATAGGCATTTGTCTGAAATTATCTTCTGTAAGGAAAAATGAAATCAATTTTTCATACTCCATTAACGCAAGATTATTTCACAGGATAAGCCTATGCTGCGTTCGATCGAGTTATCCGGTGGAGAGGATGAAAAAACTTCTTGCAGGTAATATATTCTTATGTTAGGTTTTGCCATGCACCAAGCTGTGACTTTAATTCTAAAATGATGATACTTGATGACGAGTAAGATCGTTTATTTTCACGTTCTGTGGACATAAGCTTCATGATTACTACTTGTTCTCTGAACCTTAGAAGTAGTAAGAAGTTTCATAGCCGTCCCCTACAATGCACAGCTTATGGTAGCTTCTTTTTGCAGGTAGAGCTTCCCACTTCCAAGTTCGCAGCAGAGCAGTTTATTTGAACGCATCTAAGTGGAAGAAGAGGTAAGCCGTCTCAAATGTCAAGTTTCAGTTAAGACAAATTTTATGATGAAGTAATTTGCGCCTGAAAACTCGTGTCGAGCTAGTTGACTGACAACAAAAACTCGACATTGGAAAAATCGTGTACATCCATTTACTAAAATAGCTGGTCTTGACAGGTAACGAGCGCCACGTATCAACGCTTCGAATCCCCGTTCCATGAAGTAAGAAATTCAGGACCAACCGACTTTTTAGAATTGTTATATCGGATAAAAATTGTGGAGCCCGCTCCTTAGATCCACTGTCGGGGTCGCCACAGACCCGCTAGTCTTCGGACTGGTATGAGGCAGTGCTTGAGTCATTGGTGGGCTAGAGCAGCACACTGGCATAGGCTCTGTGGGCTTGTATAGCGAACGACCGAGTATTTCACTCGGTTGTGGAATTGCTACGCCCTTGTACCTCGGCCGGACAATTAAATGATATGTAGAAGGCCGTGTGTGATTATAAAATGAATGATATACGGAAGGCTGTGCGTGATATAAATGTGGCGGTGTGCACTGTGCATGTCATACATGTGAATTGTGCTGAGTTGAATTATCACCTTACACCGCTAGTGATGTGTTCATAGACCAATAACTATTGATAATGATTATTTATTACAGGTTGACGACCTTAATTTCGAAAGAGCAAATGGAACGAAGCAATTAAATCGAGAATAAAAAAAATTTGTTTTATTCCAACCAGTTTGAACTAAACTTGAACCAACCATTTTCTCGAGCCGGAAATATCGAACGGGTTTAATCAAATGCGAGCGAAATGTGACGGTTTGGAACATTAATCCCATTCACAAATGTAGGCCGCTATTGTGGAACATGCAATATCTGTGTAGTGAAACTTGCAGTTATACAGGGGTGCATGAAGCATGACGGCGCAGGTAGTGGTGATGTTCTTCGGGTCAGTTGGGCTCCACGGGACAGAGGCCATGGCTTTGCTCACGGTAACTCCGTTGTCGAACTTCCAAACGTTGTCGGTCATTTCAAATCCAACAGAGAATCTCCGGGCTATTTCTGCGGATACGGGCAAGCAGACTGAAGCAACGTAGAAATGAAGATAGTTGGACTATGTCAAGAAATGGCAAAAAAATTTACTATAGAAAGTGTGCTGAACAATTGACACGGGCCTACTGTTGTAGTTGACGCATGTGGGACAGGCGCAGTCGGCTGTAGAGTTCCCACACATGCCGGTAGCGTTGCAACAATACAGGCCGTATGTGTATGGGTTGCATGGCCGCGGCTGCCCGTCCGGCAGAGGAGCCGCAGCTCCGCACAAATTGCCCAGAGGTTTCACGTATCCTTCAGATTAAATATGTATGATCCTAATTACTCAATTTTTCATTGGTAGCCGAGCTGACGCAAGCGGCAAGAACGCTATTGGGACGGTAAATTACTTGCCGTAGCTTTTATAATCCTACGGCTTGAAATTTTCTATCACACAAACGAATTCATGTGAGGAGTTAGTGTGCGAGCTTGAATTATTTATAATATAATACACGCTAATGTCGGGCAAGGTTGAATTACTGTGGTTATGATTCACCTAAAAAATAGATTGCTTACTTGTGTAGAACAGGTAGTTGGACATGGCAACGGCTTCGGCTACTGTTTCAGGAGAGTAGAGGTGAGATGCGCTGTCGTGAAATTTACCAGGTTGTTGGTAACGAAGATTAGGCATCCAAACTCCGGGTACTCGTAGAAAGGATATCGGCATCGAGACCCTGTATGCCAATGGGTGATGATTAATTTCAGTGCACATGTTATTCCATACCTAACGTAGTTGGTTCAGAGCTCAAGTCAATTACAGCTCGCAAACCAGAAAATGTAACGGTAGTATTTGATTGAAGAATATTCCACGGGTTTGATAATAGAATTGAAGTGTTATATCTCACCGGCCAGGAAGCATTTCCAGTTTGAGACGCGACCCCTGATGCCATTGAGGTTTGCAGCTGTGATGATAACGCAAGTGGCGCCATCATAACACACGAGATCTGCACCCGTTGCAGCGCTGCTTACAGCGGCGCACCGAGCCATGGACGTCGTAGCGAACTCGATCTTGTCGCCTGCTGCCACGTATGCGGGGTCAGCTTTTTCGGTGTACCACAGTCTGCTGTTGATGACTGCATCGTTTTCTCGCAGGAACCAAAAGATGAGCATGTACAGGCACCAGAACTGCATCGCTGACGTCGTGCGCCTGTTAAGTAATTTCATTATGATAGATTTTAGTTATACCTATACAGTTAGATGTTTATAATCCTCTTATATAAAATAGTGGATTTAGGTATTGATTTTATATATATATAATGGCAAACACTGACCCGTAATTTATACCTCATAGTTTAAAAACGCAAAAATCGTAGATGAGCTGAAGTGCACTTAGGATGGGGTAACTAATGTTAGGTGTTCGGTGTAAATGGTTCTATTTTAAAACGTTACTCTCAGGATTTAGAAAACTAGACTCGTGCAACTTGAGAGGGAATATTGCCAGGAATATTTCTTGAACCACAAATTATATGGTGAACCTCATGACTGGGCTATTCGCTCCACAAAATTACCTAAAAGCACTTAGCCTGCACTAAAGGTTCTAGCACAAGCTTTTATCATTATATGCTTCTCTTCATTTACATTACGCTTCATTCACATATTCTAGCCAAGATTATGCATTTACTGACGCGTGTCCCATCGACTTAGTAGGCTGAGGTTTTGTCAAATGAAAACTTTTCGTTCAGTTAAGAATTTTTAAGCCTTACACATCAATCACTGCACTCATAAGGCCGACGTTCCGTGTCTTTGTTCTAAAAAAATTCCTGCTGAAGCATAAGGCTTGGATGAAGGTTGCTGAACAAAATGCATAATCAAGGCAATAATATTATTGAATTGTAAAGTATGAGTCACTCGGCTGTGCAACATATTATGACTTAGTTTATAAGCAAATGACGGCATCCTGCATTTCGCACAACTCGAGTAATTTAGATGTTCCCTTAGAACTTATACTATTCTATTTATAGAACTGTAGATTCTATTTATAGTATTTATAGAACTGTAGTCTTATCAAGTGCAAGTGTAAATACACAGATGTATATTTCTCCAGTATTTCGATGGAAAGCTGTACAGCGCCTTTCACGAATCTTATAGAACAGAATAGAAATGTTGTCACTGAAGAAATAGGCCCATGGCCTGTTGCCGATTCTTGTACTTTTCGTGACTTGATTTACAAGGGATCCAGCCATACGAACCCGATCTTTCCATAACTGACGAATTGATTGAGATAGTTGCTGGACTTATTGTAAAGCTCGTAAGGTGCAAGGCATTTCAAGACTGAACATATGCTCCTGCATAGCTTCGTCTAGTCTGTTCTTGAAGGCGTTCATACTCGGAGCGTCAACGATGCTATCAGGGAGGCTGTTCCACATGTCGGTGACTCGAAACGAGCAAAAATGTTTTCGCATGGATGTGTTACATTGCAGTTTTTTCGTTTATCGAATGGCAATAATGTACGACTACCTTGCAGAGCCAGCGCATTTTCTGAAATTATTTCTGAAACTGGTCGTATGAGTGATGCGAATGATAGCAACGGGGAAAAAATTGACAAACTAAATAATATTTAACATTGAAGGCGCATGATGTACTCCTCGATGTTCGATACCGCGATGAATATATTTTTAAAATTTTCAATGTGCTGCTTAACTTTTATTAATCCTTTCAATCATATCATGCATAATAAACACGAATTCTATTAACGTTACGCTCGAAATTTTTAAATTGCGGCAATTATAACTTATTTTTTAATGAATGAATCTGACCTAAATTGTTGATTGGATGAGTTAAATACAAGCTATCGGTTCGCACTGTATTTGTGTTTGCTTGCATTGGCTGCTAAATTTTGTTCAGGTTAACGGCTACCCGCACCAGCTGCCTTATTCCAGAAAAGAGTGCAGAAATTTTTAGAGATGAATCCAGTTTTATATCAATTTATGCAATTTTCATTATTATTATTATTATTCCACAAAGAGATTGTCGTGGCGTCTCGTTCACATCGAACTTCGAGGGCACGTTACAAGCGGCTTAAAAAGACCCGAAAGGATAAAAACAGATGACGACTATGCTAAAACAGAGGACATGTGCCAAGACTGATGACGTCTATGCTAGAACAAACAACATCTATACCAAACCAGTAATATGCATGATAGATTAGATGACAGCTAGGCCTAAGATTCAAAGGATCTACGGAAAAGTTCTGTTTTTAGGCGTCGACGAAACAACGGCAGCGAAGAAGCAGATGTCACCGATGCTGGCAGACCATTCCATGTTCTGGCCGCAGCGACCGGGAACGCTCTGTCGCCGACGGTGGACAGACGTGAAGACGGGACGACGAGGTCAGCCTTCGACGAGGAACGCAGTCGCCTTCTAGAAGGCAGATCCGACACGCGTCGTAAGCCTTCAGCGAGATAAGGTGGTGCTAAACCATGGAGGCAGCGAAACGTCAGAACAGCGACTTTAAACTGCGTGCGCTGCTGGATGCGCAAATCCATTGTAGGCTGGTATCTACCGCTTGCTTCAGAATTAAACTCGTTTAAAATCCTAATATTAAAATTGTATCATAATACGGCGTTGAACATTGAAAAATTCAGCTTGACATTTTTTACATTTGACATTTTGAAATTTTTGACATTTTTCTAAATCAAATTTTTTTAATAATTTTATTGATGCTCATGAAAACATTAAAGGTTTAACTATAAATATCTGGAAGACTCTGACATTAAGCACGAATTTCATAGAAAAAAGAACACTAAAAGAATGAAAAGAGGCTGAAAAACCACGACAGGACGATCTGTCGGCAAAACTGGTTTGATTGACACCGAATAAAATCTTAAAGCCGGCCGCGAGTCCGGCCGTAAAATTGTCCGAGACATCATTTTACTCCATACTTTTTCGATCAAACAGTAACAACTAGAGAAGTGGACGCGCTAAGCACGTCAACAATTATTAGCAGACCATTGGTATGTTGATATCAAGCATTCATTGAAACATGTGGAGCGAGACTTGTCGAATGAGGATTTAGGAATGGAGATTCCAAGAGAACACTGACAGGTTTCAAAATGCGTCTATATAAGAACAGTGCATCAGCAGCCATTTTCAAGATCCATTGATTTTTGAGACACTTGAAGTAGGTCATCGTAGGAAAACATAAAAAGTATTGCAAAATGCAGCAGAAAGTATCTGAATCATAGGGTTAAGATTTTTATTTTTATTGTGAAAAGCAAATTCTAGAAAAAAGAAAAAGTGATTGTCTAGCTTTCCAATTTTTTTAATATTTATACGATATGAAACAAGTAACATAAAGCTCCCTATAAGAATGCCCATATAAGCTGAGAAGCGTCGACTGATTTAATCTGTTTATGATTCTAACAGGAAACAACAGTGTTATGATCAGCCTGGAATAAAAATTATTAAATTTATGCGCGTCACTAAAAATAAAGATGACAGTAATGTCATGATAGCTATGACTAGAAATATTTATGAAAATCGAAGCAACAGGTAGTGAAAATAACAACCAAGTCATATTCATGTTCAAATTGATAATTGGTATGAATAAAATCGTGTAATTTCGTCTGGAGAACAAATTTGGAACTGATCTGTGCATGAAAATGTTGAGAGGCAAGAGGAGAAAATCGACTTCGAAAGACGTTCATTACGGGAAAGGGAAATCGTAAATTTAAGAAGCTGATTAAACTATTATCGAGTTTTAAAATTTTATAGTGCATATATAATTCTTTAGTCTGTCTCAATAGAATATTGTTGTCGGAGCCATCTTCTAATTCACGTAAAAACATGATGTGTTGAAATGTAACGCTCCATTTTACTTGCCTTTTTTATTATATATAGCGTTTTAATGAACGAAAATTTGTGTCCTCAGCACTTTGAATCCTTTTATTTGCAATTATTAATATTGAACTGAAATAATTTTTTAAATTACGCGTAAAGAAAGTACGGACATCGTCCTCACTTTGATATAAAGTTTAGCATATTATTTTTCATGACGATAATGCATCGCTCAGCAAGTGATGGGTTACTGGAACGTCAACTAAATATATAACGGAACACAATTTATGAACGAGTTGCATGCATGTGTTGAGAAATTTTGATTTAATACTTGGTTGAGTAGCGAAAAATGGCGGAATGTCATTAAATATCTATTATAAATTAGGAATCACAGTATTGATCAGAAATATACTGGCGCTTGACCTTATTTCAAATGATTAACAATTTTATATGTATTATATTTTGAATAGTCATCTCAAGTATATATTAAACTAGCGTGAAGGTAAACTCTAACAAATAACTTCTTCAAGTAACCGAAAATGTAAAGTGCTCAGCTTACCTTCTACTGCCAGGTATGAAACAGTATTTGCGATTAGCCACCTTCTTTGAACACCTAAGAGTTGACACGGTTAAGTGAGCATAGGTATGTGAAGGTGAGATCTTTTATACCACTATTGATTGTACCAGAGCACTTAACGAAATGCGGTAAAACATCACGCAATGGCCCAATAATATTTGAAATTTTTGGAATGGCATGTTCGAGAGGCGCGAGTGACGAGAAGTTTTGGTGATGAACCAAGTTCGGCATCAACCACCAACTTTTACGAAAATTTGTTCGAAAGCCAGACCACGGTGCCTTTGTTCTGAATATCTCAATTTTTTTGTAACTTCTCTGCTAAGAACATGAAATAAGCGCCTTCAGTTGGAAAGAACGACATTTAGGCACATCTATTTTATGCATCTCACTTTTTCGAGTACAATGTCTGAAATTTAACATGTGACAGCGTTCAATTACTCAGCGTGAATATGGATGAGCCCTTTCTGAACGAATTCAAACTTCCTCGCTTAATTGCCACTACAGGTCACGACGACCACTTAATTAGCATGGTCTGGCACTTTAGCTTGCCGATGGATTATAACCTTGAAATGTCATCGTTCACATCTCATGTACAGAGACGTAATGATACGAAAAAATTAAGTGAATAACTTTGAATGCTCCACTGCCGCCACTACACTCTAAATTAATTAATTAATTACCAGACCAGTACCACCAGCACAGCCAGCGCCGTATGACAGCAGATCACGGGCGATTTCCGATGGTCACAGGATTTGTCATAACAGCGCTACATAACTCAAGATAATCTAACCCGCTTGAATTGCATCAAGCTGCCTATTGTGTAGGAGTTGTTAAGATTAAGTCCCGGCATTGTCTCTGATTA